AAGATCGAGTCTTCAGTGGCTAACTTTTGTTTGCCCAACTAGTACCAAAAGCCCAGGGAGAGTGAAATTAATCATGTTTCTGCTTGAACATGCTTTCGTTCTACGTGAATGCGTTTTTCACGTGGTGTAAAACTTTCATTGTTTCATGTTTCGTGTTGTAAACCTTTAGGCAACTAAAAATGCATTGAAAAAATCTTGGGCGAACACACCGAGAACGCAAAGCAAAAGAAAGGATCAACTGGATGGAGACATATTTTTGCAAAAACCACCACTATTTCTGTGAAATCACCATAAAAGACTATTTTATGTAGAATGGGAAACTCCGTTTTGGAGCAAATTGAAGAAGAGCCTTTTAAAATCAATATAAACGACCGAAAATGTGCAAATTAGCCAACCTATCAACGAAAAGCGAGAAATTTATGCGCCCACTTCACAACAGAATTTGAAGATGCGCGGTTTGGTAATTCCGGGGAAAATTCATCGCTTATAATGACAAAACTGATTAACAGCAACATTTTATTGCGCTACTAATAAACTATTATTAATTGAAACTGTATCCAATTTAATTTACTTACCCGACAAGAACTAAAGCAAACGAAATAAGTGAAGTTCTAAAGTAAATATAAAAAAAGGTTCGACAAACTACTCACAAAAGGGTGGGACTTCAAAGTCCTGTGGATCGCAGCATCGAATTCGAATTTCATCGGCAATAAATCATCAATTCGAGCCACTAAAGTGAAGCGAAATCGCGCGCGATTTAATCAAAGCGTGAAGAACTTCCTGCGGATTGACGAAGATGAAGGCCGCCACGCGACTGCCGGCTGCGGCCCCCAGAAAACGAAGAACTTCTGCGGTGGAAAGCAATTCTTCGGAAGAAAATCGACCTGCCGCAGGTACGAGTCTATCAAAGAGCGTGAGTCGAATTTGATCAATCACCGTCTCCTTAAGACTCCAAAGTTGGTTCTTCATGTTCATGTAAAGATTTTGAGAAATTTTTCAAACTTTGCGGCAAAAGTTGGTATCGGTTGCTGCTAAAAATGCTTTCTTTGGCCGGTAGGTAGGAAAGCGCTAATTGCTTTCCGCAAAAAAAGCATTAAAACACACACGAACCTTCGCAGGAGTTTGAAAATTCAGTTTTATTCAATTTTGGCATGCGTTTGCATAAAATTTTTTTGCATAAACGCAATTATATTTAGCGTTTTTTGACTGTCCTTAACGTGAACAGTTTCCGACATTTTTTGATCCTTGAAAACGAATTTTGTGGCTCAAATGGTTCACATACATTGGTAAACATACATACAACTCAAAAAAAACCACGCACACCTAAAACTTCTTGAATTCAAGCCTTTTTTGAGAAAACTGCCAACATTTCCCCATC